TTCTTTCATAACTAATATTGTCTTACTTGATGAGGGATGGTTACTTTCTATACCAGAAGAACCGATTCAATTTAAATGTAATGACATTTGGGACCTTGTCCCATATCCATCTGATAAAACCACCATTGGCGTTAGATGAGTATTTAGGAATAAATTAAACGAAAATGAAATAATTACTAGAGATAAATCTAGGCTAGTGGCAAAAGGATATAGTAAAGCTGAAGGAATATACTATGATGAGACTTATGTTGAGTCATGCCTTATTTAAATCTTCCATTCATATTAGTTTTGATCACATATTTGTTTTTGTTGTATAGTTGCATCTCTTTTTTTACTTATTTGTTGCAATTTGCATGTCAATCTTTGTATTATGCATTTGATCTTGGTTGTTGTATATTCTTCTTAGCTAGTTTAAGCTCATGAGTTTTTTTTGGAATATTATTTGTGTTGCTGGTTTTGTTTGTGTTTATGCTCATTCGCATCTTTCTCTTTTTGATATTGTCAAAGGGGGGAAAGTTCTAATGTGAGTCTAGATTTTTTTATGTGTTTTATGTTGTTGTGTATCATGCAATATTTCAGAGGGAGCACACACAATTGAAAAAAAGCATTGATCACATTTTCTTTTGCTTGAAGTCGACTCAATTTTAAGTGAAAGCTATCCATGCATAAAAAATGGGGAGAATGAAGTTACATGTCTCTAATACATTTAGGGGGAGACATATATGTGGTTTTGTTGCTTGTCCCTGAAGCTTTATTTTGAATTTAGTTTTATATTTGAGTCTCCTTTTCAGTTGTGCAACTTTAAGGATCCAATCTTTGATCCGTGTTTTAGCATGCATAATTCAAAATGTTTACATTTGAGTATGAATATTATGCTTTAAGTCAATTAGTCGAGTTTTACTGAACAATAATCATAATTGATATTGATTCAAGTCATTCCAAAAGTAGAATCTCAAAACATCTTTGAAAACTTGAGATTTTGATAGTTTGGAAGTATGATTTGAATCCCATATTCCTCTGAGTCGAATCAAACAAGGCAGAAAGGAATCAGGGTTTTGTTTCATCCTATGAGTTAAATCACAACTTTATTTAGTTTGAATCATACACACCGAGAGTCGAATCTCATGTGGTTCATGAGTCAAATCACAGACCCTCGTTAGGCTACTGCCAAGTTTGAGTCGGATCATGACTATGATATGACTCTATTCATGACTTGTGTGAGTCTAATCATGCATTAGCCTTGACTCAAATCATAGAAAGTGGGTCTCTCTTTAAGTGTAGATCTTGTTTCACATCACTTTTCTAACTTTAATCAAATCACCAAATGCTCTTGACCGGAATCATACATGATTTTTTCACTAATTTATGTGCTTCATATTCAAAACATATAAATCATTTTCATCTCTCAACCTTTCATAATGTTAGAAAACAAATTATTTCATTGATGAGTTGAAGACTCATAAACTAATTGTTCTTAAATTTTCAAAAGAGTTTTGAATCTTTCTTGAACAACATACAATCAATTTCTTTCATCTTATGTCTCATTAATTTTGCATTATTGCATGGATCTGAACCATATCTTGAAATATTCGTGATTGATTGAGGATATTCATGTTGGATTTAACGTTTATGTGAAGATTTGTTTAATATTTCAGAGGCTTGCAAGAGTGTGTGATGTTGAGACTGGTTGTGACAATTATAGTGGAAAAGAAGAAGGTTATTTTCTCCTATATGGCTTTGGTAGTACTATGTGGAAGTCTACAAAGAGGGTAGGAGTTCTTTTGATCTTCGAACAGACCAAAACTTAAGATACTGGAGGAATTGTGTGAAAATTGTCGTAAACAGAGAGTAAAGACTTCACATAGAGTTTTGTTTGTGGAGTTGTGTACAAGTTAAAATCCAGAATAGAATAAATTTTATTTTCATCATTTATTTGTGGACTAGTGATTATATGAACTCTTGTAATATTGTTGTAAATCATTATAGAAGACCAACAAATTTTCAATGGCCAACCATTGTAGAGTGGATTAAGCACAATGTGAGGACGAACATACTGAACCACTATAAATAAAGTTGTACACTTATCTCTCTTTCACTCGTTTAATTTCATATTTGATCGCATGATTAGGTAGTTTCTATTGCTTTCTAGAATTTCATGCTGATAGGTTTATCTATTAGTAGTGATTTGTTGTATAAGTTGTAGGTTTCGTTAGAATCGGTAATTTGACGTTGTCTTATTATATATTAAGTCTGAAGACCGTGCTAGTAGAATCTTGCTCATAATTGAATATCATTCGATAAAACATATAGTGAAATTGAACAATTTGGCAATTTGATTAGTTTGTAATTTGATGAAATTCAGTAGTTCAAGTGGATATATTTTTTACTCATTCAAGACATTTGTGAATCTCTCAAAATAAGCATAATCTGTTTCACGCAAAATTTGCTTCCGCCACGCAAAACATTTTGTTTTTGAAACTCTGATAAAGACCTTTTCAAATGAATTTTTAAGTCTGGGAGGTCTATTCACCCCCCCCCCTGTGTGTGTGTATGTGTGTGTGTGTGTTTAAGAGTATCCCCTCCCACACCGAAATAAAGTAACAAGACAAAAAAATATATATTAGAGTTCACCATCAAATCCAAATTCACCACTTTATTTGTAAATCTCATTAATCTTCCCAATAATGCATATTAAAAAAATTATAAACCAAGATTTATTCATTTTTTGATATCATTAATAGTATTACTTTTCTTTGTAATTTTTTATTAGAAAATATACTGCTTTTAGATAAACCAAATAAAAAATAGCAATTTCTTTCCCACCCTTGTGTTGTGAATCGCACCTCTGAAAACTAAAAAATTCTCTCATAAATTTTCGGAGATGCATCTCCGAACATACTATGAATCATTTTTGCCAAAATTTGGTTTGGAGATGCATCTGTGAAAGTTTCTGAGGTGCATTTGGAGATGCATCTCCGAAATAGTAATTTTCGGAGATGCATATCTAAAAACTTCATTGCATGCATTGCGGGAAGAAACATTGTCCAACTTTGTATTTTATTAATTCAAAGTCGTTTTAATATGAGTAGTAGTGCCATAATCCATAATTTGATTCAACTATTAACATCTTAAAATAGGATGATGCATTAATAATAAAAAAACATGTCATAATATTACAAACATAATTCTCAAAGTATGGAAAATATTGGTAAAACATCTGAAAATACATAAAAAGGAATAAACTATTGCGTATGCCTAATCCTAACCCCAACTCCTCCTCTATCACTGGTAACTCAAGTCATTTCATGACTCAGTAGAATAGAATATGCTAGGGAAACCACATTATCGCCACCTCTCTCAAATATCCCAAACTTTATGCCCTCTCTCGTAATCGGCATAATATTATGACAAATCAAAAACACATAAAGAATGATCATCCATGGCCTACTCATTCTCCAGGATCTCCTCAGGAGCAGGCCTAGGTTGACGTCCAGAAGTGTCTAGTGTCATGACAAGGTGTGACACAGAATAAAACTAAGTCATGTAACCCTCAGCATAATGCCACTGACTTGTGGTTGACATATTATAACACTCTTCTGATACCAGATGACTCTCTTAATTCACTAATATATCATCAAGATCTTTATGGATGATGCTGATTTGAGCATCCACGAAGGGAGATCTCGGAAGGATCTGCACAAATCCAAGCTGACGCATGAATTACTCTAGTAGATACTTGTACATCAAATTACTTCTACATGACAGCCATATAGAGTAATATGAAATAAGGTTGAATGGAATATTGTCCATTCGATGTCATCATGATGAGTTCTATCAATATAAACACAAAATGGCCACATAAGATCACTCTACGCGGGCAATACAGGAAAGCACGAGGGTAATCCTCAATATACCCTAACACACGATCAAACTCATGTATGCGGTGAAAGTGGGATAGAATCCATCCCTGAGAATGAATAAGAAAAAAACATTAGTAATGATTGTAAAAAGTGCTTTTAAAATTAAGAGTGCTATCAAATTACCTTCAGTAGGATCCAGGAGCCTATCATTTTCTTTTTCGTCTAAAGAAAACCTTCACTCAACTTGGAGTACATGTATACCAAGCAAGCTGACCCTCAGTTAGACTCATGAATGGAATCCAAGTTGATGAAATACTTAAGGCATGCTACTTCTACGTAGGTTTCACTTTTTTCAACAAACATGGATGTGTCAACCAAGAATAAGAGGAAACACCTCCAAGCACATTCCCGGTGGTAGGTAATCTATAGTTCCACTACGCCAAAAATGATTTTTTGTATCACCTAATTTAATAGCACTTTTAAAAAAAATGCTATTAAAATGGAAAAATCACAATTATAATAGCACTTTTTAATCGGGCGCTATTATATAATACAGACTATGTAATTATGATAGCACTTTGTACCAGAACGCTATTATTAAACTTCTTTAAGATAGCATTTTGTATAAAACGCTATTATTTGACTATCCTCGACATTTCATCCATTTACATTCACTATCCTTCATTCTTGTTCTTCTCATTCCAAATTTCTATATTATTTCTGAATTTCAATTGCTGTGACTGTGATTTTTCAACACAGCAATGCCCACCGCCAAATTATTCATCTCTCTCCTCTGTTTCTCTCTCCTCACTCTCTCCGTCACCGCCCGCCCCTACGTCCTCGTCCTCTCCCAAGAAGACTTCAAAGACGAACCCCCTTCCGATCCCGATTCCTCCCCCGAGTGGGACGAGTTCGGCGACTCCGACTCTCACAAATCCGAAGAGGCACCAAATCTTCGAACCAACCTCCACCCAACCGCAACCTCAACCTCAATCCGATACGGAGGCTCTCTACTACTCCGCCGTGACCAAGCTTATGACAGGAGACGCGAGGCTAATCGAAGAAGGCTCTGGTGAGATTGAGAAGGCTACAGAGTCTGGTTACCCGGCGGCACAATCAGTGTTAGGGTTTTTGTGGGGAATGGGGCTTTTGAGAGAGAGGAGTAAACAGAAAGCATTTGTTTATCATCATTTTGCTTCAGATGGTGGCAATATGCAATCCAAAATGGCTCTTGCTTATACCTACACTCGTCAAGATGTGAGTTCACTTGTTTTTCCTAATATATAAACTTCTATATTCTATTCTATTATAATGTTAGGGTTTTTGATTATGTTGGAATGGTTGTAGATGTTTGATAAATCGGTTAAGCTTTATGCTGAATTAGCAGAAGTGGCTGTCAATGGTTTTCTCATTTCCAAAGATTCTCCCGTCATTGAACCTATTAGGCTACACAATGGAGCTGAAGAGAACAAAGAGGCACTTAGAAAATCTAAAGGGGAAGAGGATGAGGATTTTCAGATTCTCGAGTATCAGGCACAGAAAGGGAATGCTGCTGCTATGTACAAAGTGGGACTCTTTTACTACTTTGGGCTACGTGGATTGAGGCGTGACCATTCTAAGGCACTTTCGTGGTTCTTGAAGGCAGTGGAGAAGGGAGAGCCTCGCTCCATGGAGCTTCTCGGAGAGATATATGCCAGGGGAGCCGGTGTTGAGAGGAACTATACAAAAGCCTTTGAATGGCTTACTCTAGCATCTAAGCATCACCTCTACTCTGCTTATAATGGGATTGGTTATTTGTATGTCAAAGGCTATGGAGTCGACAGCAAAAATTACACTAAAGTATGATCATCTTTGCCTTTTTTGTGTTTGTATGGACTTCAAATTTTTGGGGAATGGAATGGGGACACACTTTATCGGTGGTATTGTGTGTCTATGTATGTCTATGCTTAATTTATGATATCTTTTTCTGAATTACAGGCAAAAGAGTATTTTGAAAAGGCTGCTGAAAATGACGAGGTTGGTGGCCATTATAACCTAGGTGTCATGTTTCTCAAGGGGATTGGAGTGAAAAGAGATGTGCGGTTGGCATGTGCTAATGAAAAACTGTTGATTAATTTAGGTAAGAGCCCGATGTCAATATGATTCTCTCCTGTGTTTTATATTAATTTTAATATAACATGTTTTACTAGGCACAATAAGGGTAAATTATCTAATGTCACTGTAGTCATGTTATATAGTTTGAGATGACTGGACTGACCTAAATATTCATTCTTCAATGCTGTTGTTGAGGCTCTGGTGAGAAAAACAACAGGGGAAGGGATTGGTGCAAGTAAACTAGTAACCATGTCAGACATCGAATTGGAGCAAGGTCAACTTGATAATAAGGAAAAGCCCAAAAGGATACCTCTAACGCGTTTGGCCAAGTTGAACAAGCCTGAAGTTCCTGTCATACTGCTTGGAAGCATTGCTGCAATAATACATGGTGTCGTGTTCCCTATATTTGGCCTGTTGTTTTCATCAGTCATTAGTATGTTTTTTAAACCTCCAGACCAGCAGAGGAAAGAGTCCAGGCTATGGTCACTTCTATATGTAGGTTTGGGTTTCGTTACTCTAGTGGTTTTACCACTGCAGAATTACTTCTTTGGGATTGCTGGTGAAAAACTTATTGAAAGAGTTCGTTCATTGACATTTGAAAAGATTGTGCACCAAGAAATTAGATGGTTTGACAATCCTGCAAATTCAAGGTATGTTTAAAATGTATTTTACTTCGAGATAAAATAAACAGTTATCATGTATTGATTCCTTCTACTCATGAAACTGAAAGAAATGAATCACCTTGCAGTGGTGCAGTAGGTGCAAGGCTATCTACCGACGCTTCAACTGTGAAAAGTCTTGTTGGTTTCTCTTTTTTAGCTCTATATTGCACAAATGCTTTCACTTTCTACATAGGATCTATTTTAGTGCAACACGGGAAAGCAACGTTTCAAGAGGTTTTCAGGGTACAATCATTCAATCAACTTAGCATGCTTTAATTTTACTTGATGTTTTTATTTTGATCTGGTTCTTACAAGATAATATATGCAGGTTTTCTTTTGTTTAACAATGACAGCAATCTCCGTTTCACAGTCTAGTGCTTTGGCACCAGACGCTAACAAGGCGAAAGATTCCACAGCTTCAATATTTGAAATTCTTGACAGCAAACTTGATATTGATTCCAGCAGCAAAGAGGGTGTAATGCAAGAAACGGTAGTTGGTAATATTGAACTTCAACATGTCAGCTTTAATTACCCAACAAGGCCACACATTCAAATTTTCAGAGATTTAAACCTAAGCATCCCGTCTGCAAAGGTAAACCTAAGCTGTCAAAAGCTGTGCAATATTCCTCAGAGATAAGAAAGCTAAAGTTAGAACTAAAGCAAGAACGTGATCAGTTGGCCGATATTCAACTAAATTTTCGTGGTATTTTTATTCTGCATATGAATGCCTAAATGATAATATTGTGTAAATAGAAGTTGACGAAACTCGCCTTTTTCAATGTCAGAGGAACAGGAATCAAACAACTCTTTCCGGGAGGAGCTTAAAATGTTAAAGTTGGAAAGAGAAAAAGTGAGTTCATATTTTTGTAGATATGTTAATTTATATGTCATAGCTGCAACATTACATGATTCCAAACGTAAAAGAGCTAATTGGGATAAAGCAATAGGTGCACATATGAAATGAATGCTACAATTCTCTGTTGTTGATCTGGGATGTCTTTTGCATTTGATAGTTTAATCATTTTGTTGTTACTATTTCAGTGACATTACATGTTACGATGTAGTAAAACATTTAACGTAAAGCACCTGAGTAAATTGGTCTGGCTTTTAGAAACACCTTTCAAATAATGGTTTTTATTCATTTTACTGTTAAAAGAGTCGTTAGAAACTTTATCAATACTAGACCATACTGTTTCAATAGAATTCTCTCATATATAAATAGCATTTGATGGGCACAATATAATGAGATTTGGTATCAAGCTATAAACAGATGGATCAAAGGCTATACAAATTCATAGATGGACGCAATATAAATCTCAATTTATATTGTTCTCTTCTAGTGCTTGCTTTCTGAATTCATAGCATTTCTACTTTTCTATATAAAATATAAAATAATTTGCCTTGCTGTTATGAATTCAGAAAGCTATCCAAATTGATTCTTCTATTTTGCCTTTATCAAATAGAATGATTGGTTTATTCTGGGAGCAGACTCTAGAAGACCTTTGTCAGTGCTTGAACATATAATTTTTCTTTCAGATGATATTTTTCTGAAACTGAGAAGGAACTTGACCCTTTTCTGTTACATTCTAAACCCTTTTATTGCATCATTGAGAAATTGGAATCTCTGCAAGGGATTGTACACTTTTGCAATGTCATGTTCTGGATTACATAGTCTTGGTTATCTAACCATGTTTGATATTATTGCTTGGAAGACATCAAAGGAGCTGAGAAAAGTACAATATGAATTGAATGTGAAAGCATCCGAAATAAAGCATCCGAAATAAAGCATCCGAAATAAAGCACTTGTCCTGTTTGCTAATATTGTATTTGTAGCTTTTTATGCTTCTAAGTCTGCTGCATTTGTATTATATTAGTATAATATTGAGAACTCATTTGTGCCACTATATAAGTTTTATTCATGTGTTCATATTTCTAAACTCTTTAGTCCTGTTTTTCTCGGAATTAATATTAACAGGAAGCTCTGGAAGCAGCGAGAGTTCTGAATCTTAAGAGCAATAAATATTTCTCAGGACCATATGGTATAGACTAAGGTCATAAATGAAGATTCTTTATGCAGGTGAATAGAAAGGATACAGAGAAATTTTTCTAAAAAGTGTTTGTTCTGTCAACTGTGTAAATGGAAAGGATACAGAGAATTGTGTAAATGGAAAGGATACAGAGCGACCGGGTTCTGATTTTGAGCTTGTTGCAGTTATTTCTACTTCTATTGATATACTATTACAATTTAAGCTGTAATTTGAATTTATATTGAGAAACGATCACAGTGATGGGATTTGGATCAATCCATCATTTTATGTAACTAGAAAACAGAAAAGTAGGAATCCAACTACAAGGAAGAGGAAAAGGCCGACTTAATCTTGTATGGTTTATTTATTTGTTTTTCATTTTTTTATTGTTATTGCTTCTTAATGTTATTCTTGTATGGTATATAACTTTTTAAATTTTTATAGGTGAAATATGGATTCTATTGATGATGAAAGTGGGTCGTCTAGTAAGAAAACAGTTGGTAAACGTGGTGTGACCCGATTGCAAAAAATTCACAAAGCCAAAAGCAATGGAAAGAGAATTGAGGTAAAATAGCTAGAGTTTTATGATACTGTTTACTCTCTTGGCAATTTTCCTTTTACTGAACTATGTATGAGTGATGGTTACATACATGATTATCTTTTATGAGTTAGTTGTTTGAAACTATTTGAATGTTAAACACTATTAGTGAGACTGTTGATTCTTTATTTGCACTTTAATTTTGTTATAGGTTCAATGGAATTCCAGAGGTCAACCAATCAAGCATAATAGCAAGACTTTTGCTAGTTTCATTGGTGTCACAGTTCGTCGGTTAGTTCCAATAAGCTTGGACAATTGGAGCGCGAAAAAAAATAAAGAGGCTGTGGGGGTTTATAAACAAAACATTTGGGATGAAATTGAAGTAACACACTAACTTAAGCTAGTTGTAAAATTTTAATTTCGTTAATCTATCCATTGGGATGTTTAAATAAACTGAACTATGTTTTAATAAACTGAATTATTTGCAGAAAGCTTTTATAATTGGCGAGGAACATCGTGCCTTTGTATATAGAGAAGCTGGAAAGTTGCACAGGGCATTCAGAACAAAAATGGCGAGGATCATGAAGGTGGTTACTACATGGGATCGTTTTGTTATCCTTTCTTATTTTTTTGGTGTTTTGTTTAGAGAATTTGATTGTATGTTTTTGGATTTGGATTGAAGTACTCATAGATGGGCATCTACAAATTTGGCTATGCAAACGCCCTCTTAATATTCTATATGTTATGATATTTGGAAACAATAGGATTTGGTAATTTAAAATGTTATTTGGTATTTGATGGATCATAATATATATGCAATGAGTAACTTAAAGCGTTATTTGTGTTGAATTGAATATAGTTATTTTATATTTACACCAAAAAAAATGATTGTGTAAGAAAAAATATTGTACTGTACTTATTAAAAATATTGTACCAAATATGTACCATTTATTAGCACTTTATTTGAAAGCGCTATCAAACATATGTTATATATTAGCGTTTTTTGTTTAGAGTGCTATAAAAAAACAAACAAAAAACATGCAAAATACTGACTTTGATAGCACTTTAATTAAAACGCTATTATAAATTGGTACTTTAATAGCGCTTTTAAAGTGCTATTAAATAAGAAATATTTACAATAGTGGCGCGGTTAATAGCACTTTTAAGCGCTATCAAAAACAAAAAAAAGCGCTATTAAATAGCTTATTAGGACATGCTTCCCCAACCAACTCCAAATTTTGTTCATAAAGATCCTCCAAGAATGAAAATTTAGTATGAGCACCTCTAGTGTTCTCACACTCCATCAGGGCTTCCATTAGGACATTTCCCAAATAAATCACCATTATCTCATGGGCCTCAATGCGTCTAATCCTATAATAATTAAGTAATTTCCCCTGATGCAAGGTGCAGAAGACAACCGACATCATCTAGTGTAATAGTCATCTTGCCAATGGGGAAATGAAAAGATGATGTTTCTTTAAACCATTTCTCAACAAAAGCCCCTTGCATGCCATGGTTGATGGTTGCAAACCCGGAAGAACCCATAACAACAAGACTAGAGTATTTGATGAAACTTCAAAACCACTCATCCATAGGCTGAAAAACATTGTGAATCTTTCTGGCATGGTTAACTACTTTCAAACAACTGTGTTCCTGTTAACACCACTATAAATAACGCTTCTAACCTCAGATGCGAAATATGTTTTACCTCGACAAAAAAACGAGGTAAATAAGGTCGTCATAAAAAGTAAAGACTTATCACCTTGGTGTTTAAAACACCGAGGTATAATTTTATTAGCGTATGGTGTAACACCCCAATTTTAGTAATTAGTTGTATATTTTATATTAATTAATTTTTTGATTTTTGTGAGTAATTGGTTTTATTTAAATTAATTGATGTATGATATATGTGACATGTTAGTAAAGTAATAGTAATTAGGCTTAAGTGTGGAGAGGTGAAGAGTAGTGGGGGAGTATGATAGTGAGCCCATTAGTTGTTGTGTTAGCCTTATTTTGTTAATGGTTTAATAAAAAGAAATAGAGTTACTAAGAGGAATAAAGAGAAAAGGTTAGAGCTATTACACGTGAAAAGAAGAGAAGAGCGAGAAAGAGGAGAAAAGGGCAAGAATGCAAAAGTTAGTAGAATCAATCAAAAATAAGGTAAGGGTGAGTTTTTACTTGGTTATTGGGATTTATAATGATGTATGATGGGTAGTAACATATATTAGGATCAATTTATTTGGTTTTTCCATATTTTGAAATTGTTAGGTTTCGATGATAAACCCTTGGATATGATGATTAATTATGTTATAATGTTTTGGTTGATAAATACATGTTAGATATAGGTTATAGTTCCTTAACTCGTAGCAATTTCTATGTAAAAATGTGTTTTGGGGTCAATAAATCACATGGGTTCTTTGATGTCATCACATGAGTTTTTCTACAAATCGTAGAGGGCGCTTAGCTCCATTTAGCACGCTTAGCGTGGTCAAGTCAGTGAGTTTTGGCGCTTAGCGCGTATAAGCTCGCTTAGCGGGTCACCTGGGAATCGAAATATTTTTATTTTCTTAAATTGCTTTGGAATTATGTATGATTATATTTTATGCTAATTTATACTTAATTTTTGGTAATTTAAAACTACATGTTGGATGGTTTTTTAATGCATATTTGATCAAACATGAAATTGTGTTTATATGTGTTGTATGTATGTTTGTAATTGGGTGTTAAATCATAATGACATTGCTGAACATTGTTGATATGTGTCATTATCCTAGTTTGGTGTGGCCAGACTATGAATATGAGTTGTATGTGGATAATTCATAAAATTGTGTATGTATGTGCAACTGTGTGGTAATTCAAGTGTGATGAATTATTGAAGATATGCATGGATGTTAAGATTAGAGAATGATCTTAATTTCATTTGGTTGTTGTAATTACACATGCATCATTTATTGTCAAGAGGCATGCTTGTTAGTTCTGAGGGAGCTAGTGACTTGTCCCAAACCTAGAGAGGAGTTTGAAAGCTTAGAGGACGGGTTTTTTTGTGTTATTGGTCTAGAGGACATACCCAATTTAAAGTAACAACCGAATAAAAATAATAGTGATTGGTACCACATGTATGAGTATTGCATTTGAGTTGCATTGAATGATATTATGTTTATGTTTGCGATATGAAATTGTGTGAATTATGAGGAATTGATATATTGGTGAAATTGAGAAATTGTGGATGTGTAATTGAGAATAACATGACTAATTGGAAAATGCTTTGTTTTATAAAGCATATGAAGTGTGAGAATATTATCCGTATGTGTGTATGCTATACATTATATATTGTTATATGATTTCGATAATTATGTGTATTCTCATTTTTCTGTTGAAATGATGTTTTATACGATATCG